GATGAAATTATAGAGTGGGGGAAGAATGGAGAGAGTGAAAGTGAAAGGAGGGTTTCTGACAGAAAGAGGGTGAAATGAGTGGGTGGAACAGGGAGACAGATAGAGGGGGAGAGATAGAAGGTGGAGGTAGGTTAATGGAGAGAGAGAGTGGGGGGGGACTGAAGGTGCAATGGAAGGAAAAGGAAGGGGGTGGAATGAGAGTGATGGAGGTGAATAGAAAGGGGTGGACAGCTTGGTGTATGGACATCACACGCATGGGGCCTCAGAGGAGCTGGGGAGGAAGGAGGGGTGTCCACACCGCTCCACAGCCTCACAAAGGACGCTGACTTCCTGGCTTGCCGTGGTCCTTTTTTATAACCCATCGGGACGAAACTTCAAGAGGGATGGGTGGTCTTAAGTGGAAGGGGCTTAAGTATCCCTTCCACCCTCAAGTACGCCCGCGTTTAGTTAAAAGTAACACACAGGGGAAATCAGAGTATTCTTTTCAGCATGTTATTACTTTTATATGAATTATTCTTCTCTGTTCTGCCGTGAGTCGCTCAAGCCTCAGCGGGATCGACAGCAACAGGGATAAACAGAATGAGGGCTGAATTTACAAAAAAAAAAAAAAAACGAACAGCAGTAGCAGGCCTACTTTACGCCTAAGCTCCTCCTCTCACCAGAACTGATGCAAAACAACGGCTGGCCTTTTCCCTCTAAACCTCATCCCGCGTCACTAGGCTCAGGGCTAATGGGTAACCATGGTTACAGGCCTCACACATCCCCTCCATTTTTTTTTTTCCCAGGGAAATAGATTGGAGGAAGAGAGAGCGAGAAGGAGAGGGTGTCAGTATTGGTACCTGGTTGTCCTTGTATCACTGATGCTTATCCGATCACTCCATCTTCATAAAGCTGTCCATTACCATGCATGTACTGGTCCCCTGTCCCTCTCCAGCACGCCACTCAGCTGGAGGGGAATAAACTAAGCTCGACTCTGGCTGATGGGCTCGCTGGCTTCAGGACGGCTTTTTGTTTCACCACAGTGTGAGGCCTTGGTCGCTGTTTTACCTTTCACCTCCATGACGCCTGAGAAAGCTGCTCTCTTTGTTGTATATTGAGCTGAAGGTGAATACCGTGCAAGTGGTGCAATCTGGTCAGAGACAAGTGAAGGAAGGCTAGTGTTTCTCAGGATAGACGCCGGCGTTGATGATGAGGTGCGCCAGATGTAGGTCTACTAGTTGGAGTCAGATGCAGGGAGCTCATTGCGTTTCTGTTTCAAGGGCTCTCCATATCCAGATGTTGCCAATCGAAGTGTGTTCCCCTGACATCTTGTGTCTGTAATCAAAGACAGAGTGCACACCGTGAGAGAGACAGCCCAAGACACCCACAATGACATTGTGGAGGTGAAAAACCTCTCAGGTCGCCCCCAGCAGTACTCACCTGGGAGCTGATGTGTGAAGTTGGGGGTTTTGTGGGTGTGTGTGTGTGTGTTGAAGCAGGTGATGGAGTTTAGCGGGGTGTGTTAGGGGTTCAAAGAGCAGCCCTCGGAGCGCATCACAACCTACTCTAACGAACAGGAAGGATAGGCGTACCTGCCATTTGATTGGCTCCCAATCAGGCTGCCACGGCAACCCCTCACCCATCCTGCCTCCCTGTCTCCTCCCTTCCTCCCTTTCCTCTCCCCTCCCCCCTCCCGGCTAGGCTCTCAGATGAGTCGCGCTCAGACAGGTGAGATGGCTCATGAATATTTATGCAGTGGGATTTCATTCCTCCTGCCGCTGGCCCCTCCCCCTCTCCAACGCAGTGCTGCGTTTGTCCTTCACGGTAAGAGGCAGCGTCCTCGCTCCTGTCCCTCAGGTTAATCTGCCTGCTCCCTAGCCAGTGTGTGTGTGTGTGTGTGTGTGTATATGTGTGTATGTGTGTGTGTGCATTTGACTGGTAAGAAGGTTTCCCCTAGTGAGTGATGAGAAGGCAGACCTGTCACAAGGGGCCCCGCTGAGATCGAGAGCTCCTAACACCTTTCATACATCTCTCTCGCGCTCTCTCTCTCGCTCTCTCTCTCTCTCGCTCTCTCTTGCTCTCTTGCTCTCTCGCTCTCTCTGAAGGAGAAGGTGTGTGTATGTCTGAACTGTGAAGCAGTAAGATAGCTTACACCCAGTTTGATGACTGTCAGTGTCAGGGATCCTAAACTATACACTATATAAAGCTAACTCAGTCAGTCGATCATAAACTGATTTTAATTTATATTTTTTATTAGTTAAATCTACTTAATGTTTCTTAATAAAAAATGTTGTACTTTTTATACAGACAAAGAAGGCAACTTTGTAGTATGTCGACACAAATGTGATTGAATGATTTCAGCAAGACTAGCATGATTTTTAGACACTGCCGTGGATTCACTTGTCATAGAAAAATAAATTGTGTCTGCATTCTTTTGTGATTTGAACAGCTGTTACATTTACTAGTGACAGCTTTTAAATATGAAGGGTTTATTGCTTTTCTCCATTTTATATTTCATTAGAATTGTAGACATCACTTTGGGCTCTGGTAACTTCTGATAGATTAAGTTGTTAAGCAATCACATTTTAAAAAGAATATATAGATGCTCGGATGTGTTTGATTCGAAAATTAAAGAACTACGTTTTTTGTTGTTAACTGTAGATTAATTAGTAATGACTGTAATTGTTAGTTGCGGGCGGCCCCTTAAGCTGAGAAATCTTTATGCAAATAAAGTGCCAGGCCAGCCAATTCTGTTATGCTAGATTACTGAAGAGCAGGGCTACTATAGCAAAGAGAAAGTAGTGTGTTTCCTCTGAACTTTTGTCCGAGAATGCTATATAGTATTGGCTTATGTGTTATCCTGCAGTTGTCCCAGATCGGAGATTACAAAGACAGCAAGATTCACCCCAATCAGACTGACAAGCCTCCTCCCAATGTGTATGTGGTGGGAGGATCAGCCATGTTTCATAAATATATGTACATACTGTATTTGTTATTCAAATCCAAGGATAAAAGCCATGGTGGAAGGGGTTTAGTCATGCTGCGAAAGCAACAAGACAAGAGGAGAGCCATATTGGAGTGGAACAGAGAGTAGAGGGGGAGATGCAACCTAGCAGAGAGAGATAGAGACAGAAAAAGTGGGTGCCTCTCTTTATGCTTATTAGTTAGGCATTAGCTTTAGCTAAGCACATTGCTTGTGGGGACTGTATCATAATTGTACAATTTCAGTCTGCTGCCACCCACACCCAATGCAAATATGGATACGATCTGTTTATAATTAGCATACCTGTTAAATGTATTTGTTAGTATTGCCTAGAGAACACAGCCTTTTGTTTGCTGGCAGATGTTTTTGTTCTGCTATCGTGGGGGTTTTCTAGGAAACTGTTTCTCAGAAGACATTTTAAGGCATACATGTAAACAAATATGAGAATCATAGATTGTGATTTGCACGTTGCTGGGCCAGCTTCGCAGATAAGGTGAGAGGAAAATGCAGTGTTTTTGTCAGACCTGGATATCAGAAAAGTAAAGCCGCAGAGCTGCAGCCTGTGAGGCCCTATAGTGACAATCTAGTGGGAACCAAAGCAGAACTAAAGCAATACTAGCCTAATTAGCTGACCTGATTACTATATAGGCTGGATAAAGTATGGAAAGGAATCATCCTCATAAGGCATAATTACAAACCAGCACATGCATGTTTTCCATCTAAAGTGGAATTAGTTTAAAACCAAACAGATTTGGTTTAAGAACTTTTATTAAGAAGCAATGCAACAACACAGCCTCCTATATATACACACATAGCCACTTTTGAATGCCATCATTCATCCATCCCTTTGCCATAGCTATCTGTTATGGCTGAAGTAAACATTAGGGCCATCAGTCTGCGGTGTGCATGGAGGTGGTTGCCTCCATTTGTCCATGTCCAGTCAGCTGCGGAGAAACGGTGATGGAATCCTGACAGATTGTCTGTGTTTTGGAGCGTGTTGTTTTCCTTGCCCATCCATTTCTCTCCTCCTAGCCATGTTTGCCATGCATCATATCTCTCTCTCTCTCCCTCTCCCTCCTTCTACCGCCTCCTCCTCCTGCGTTGCTCATCATTTCTCGGAGGGATGGGAGCATGGAAGGACATCCGGACTACCTGCGAGGAGAAACTATGGAAACACAGCACTTGTTATTAGTGTACACTGTATGAAGCTCGGCAGCACCACACAAAGACACAACCATAACCGGCTCTTTTTAATTCTCTCGCTCTCTCTCTTATTCTGCCTCTATCTTTCTCCAATGCACCCCCCCCCCC